ATATAATATATATACTGTATGTATGCATGCATTGTTTGTGTCAGGCTAAGTTATTTCTACATTCTCCTGTCTGTCAATGCACCAGAGGACTTAGAAAACGTCGTTCTTTACCCAATATGCTTTGTGTAAATAAACAGTAGGGTGCCTTCCCTGTGACAATATATTTTTTTAATCTATAAAAACATAAACAGACTAGAGTACTAATGCTGTCTTTGTTGAAGTAAATGTTTATCAAATAAGTCTTATGTCACAACTAGTCGGGTTCCCTCTAAAGCATCTAAACTAGTTCAGTGATTCCTCTTTCTGCTGAGCTCAGTTTTAGTTAATTTTACTCTGTTTCAGTTCCACATTACTTGTGCAGCTCTCGTCAGCACAGAAAGAACCTTACCCGCTCATGAAGTCTCCAAATATGTACATGCCGTTCAGGTTGGGGTACTCGCAGCCGCGGTACACGTAACCCCCCGTCACTGATTTACCCATTTTATGAGGATAGGCATAAATGGGCAGCACGTCACCTGCGAGGAAAACAAAAGCAAAGGGGTAAAGAAAATGGATGGATGTGTGAAACCTTGTTTTCACTGTGTTCGGAAGAAAATTTAAAAAGAACCAGCAGTGTTGCWGGAACATTTGTGAATAAATAAGTGTCTGACGAATCGTCCCTACCCAGCGAGCTGTTGGCGCACAGCTTCTTATCGTAGCAGGAGAAACCCTCCCTGGCTCTCCAGCCGTAGTTTCGGCCTTTCTCCACGATGTCGACTTCCTCGAACTTGTTCTGCCCCACGTCCCCGCAGAAGATGCGACCTTTGCCCTCCTTGGTGTGCGGGTCGCCCCTGTCCACTGAGCACCTCCACATGTTGCGGACGCCGTAAGCGTACACCTCGGGCCGCGCATCGAGGTCATGTACGAACGGGTTGTCTGCAGGGATCCTGTAGAGCGGGCCTCTCTGGTTATTATCCACATCGATACGCAGAACTTTACCCAGGAGAGCCGACCTGGAACAGATGAAGCAACGTAAACAACATTTAATTTCATGTTTTCCATTAATCTGTGTAATCTAACTGCTCCTGCATACGTTAAGCRCATTCAGGAGATGAGTGCTCTGATTTTTGGTTTTTGTAGCTTTTAAAATTTTCAATTAATTGCTTTTKTCTGTTATTTTAGCTACTGTTCTGCTATTTTTAGCGAGTATTTGTGCCTTTTTTTTTTACCTAGGCCATTAGCTTAAAGCTACAGTTATTTCTTTTAGCGTTTAGCTTTTTCTACTTTTARCTCGATCCTTATTATCTTTATACTTTAGCTACCCTTTTGCTAATTTTAGCTAACCCTTTCCTGCTTTTAGCCATCATTTTGCAACTTTTAACAAACAGTTACTACATTTAGGTATTAGGTAACATTTTGCTTCTGTAAGCTAATATTTGCTGCTTTAGGCTAGCATTTTTAGCAAGCATTTAGCAACTGTCAACAAACATTTCACCCTTGTATTGCTTAGCTAWAACTCTGCTACTTTTAGGATTTTATTAGCATTTTGCTACATTTAGTGAACATTTTCCTGTTTTTAACTAGCTTTTTGTAATTTTTAGGTTCTAGCAACGTTTTGCTCCGTTAAACTAGTAGGCTATTTGCTGCTTTAAGATAGCATTTTGCTACTTTTAATTATCTTTTTGCTACTTGTGGCTTTGAGCAAGCATTTAGCAACTTTTAATAAGCATTTCACCCTTGTATCTTTTAGCTACTATTTAGCTACTTTTAGAATTTTGTTAGCATTTTCATGTTTTTAACTAGCATTTTGCAWCTTTTAGCTTCTAGCAACATTTTGCTTCTTAAGCTAGTAGGCTATTTGCTGCTTTAAGCTACCATTTTGCTACTTATGACTTTGAGCAAGCATTGAACAACTTTTAACAAGCATTTCACCCTTTTTTGCATTTACATTAGCTACAGTTTTGCTAATTTTAGGTTTTAGTTAGTCAGCTACTTTTTTGCTACCGTCTGCAAACATTTAGCTGCTTTTAACTTTTAAATAGCCTTTAGCTTTTGTCTAGTGTTTAGCTCCTTTTAGCTGTGCTTCTTTTATCTTTGATCACTCAGTTTTAGTGTTTGCGCTCCATTTTCTTATAAACTTTAGCGTGTTTTTAAAACACAGCTGAAGTTCTCACTTGTTCTGGGCGTTTCCGTATTCACCAAACGGATCTCCGGCCATTCCTCCGTCGCCTGTGAAGATGTACAAGAACCCGTCGTCTCCAAAGAGCAGCTGGCCTCCGTTGTGGTTTGACGCTGGCTCGTCGATCTCCAGAAGAACTCTTCAGTTAAAACATGAAACCAGAACCAGGTTAAAGAAGAACCTGCTGGTGTCGGCAGGTCCGGGTAGCGGTCCGTACCTACCGCTCAGACGTGTGGTCCACCACGTTCACGTCGTTGGCCGACACCTTGAACTCGCTGATCCGGATCCTCTCGTCGAGCCCGACCTGCACTGAGTAATACACGTACAGCTTCCTGTTGTACTTGGTCTTGGGGTGAAAGGTGAGCCCCAGGAAGCCTCGTTCGTCGCCCTCCCAGGACGAGGTCAGCACGGCCTGGCTGATGTTCAAAAAGGGCTTCTCCAGTTTGGACCGGTCCGGGAGGTAGGTCCACACCAGCCCCACCTGCTCGGCCACGAAGAACCGGTGCGTGCCGTCGTTGGCGTGCACCATGGCGAGCGGGTTCCGGAGCCCGTTGGCCACTTCCTCCAGGCACAGCTGCAGGCAGCCGTCTGGGTCGGTCTGGACCCGGCCCAGGTTCTGGGTGAGCTTCTGGTTGCTGAGCAGGTGAGGGTAGCAGTAGTCGACGTCATCCAGCTCCAGGAGCTTACAGAGGCGGGACCGGTCGTGTTTGGCTTTGTTGATGCGCGGGTCGTCAGACAGGAAGGGGAGAACGGAGCGACACTGGGTCCAGAACCGAGAGCAGTAGTCGGGACAGAGACCAGGGACGGTTCTGAGTGGGGTGCTCGGGTCCTCGGCATCAAACAGGTGAGCGGTGTACGGGGAACACTCCTGAGATCAGAGGGAAACARTGAAAACTTTTCAGTACGATTAAAGATTTTAAAACTTTAAAACAAGAAGTTTTACTTTGTTTTGGAAATATTAAAGGTATTTTTGTTTATTTTTATGGTGGCAGCTCATATAAAAAAAATATTCATGGCAACAAAAGGCAGTAAAAATAAAGACACAAACAGGAGCAGTGGAATGCTCTCTCTGGAGGAGTTTATGGAGCAGGAGATGGATCAACTAATCGGGRCTTCCTCCTCAGTAATGAGGKTGTTGCTTCGGTCGGTTGTGGTGAAGAAAGAGTTGAGTGGAAAAGTAAAGTTCTTGATTTAGTGGTCTGTCTAACCCTCACCTGTCATGAGGCGTGGATCATGMCCAAAAGAACGAGATCCGGATCAAAGTGGCTGAAAYGAGCTTCCTTTAGGGCGGCCAGGCTCAGGTTGAGGAAGARGAGCTCAGAGTTGCTCCTCCACGTCGAAATGAGTCATTTGAGGTGGTTCATCTGGGTTAGGATGACTCCTAGACACCTACCTAGGGAAGATAGGACTCACTGGAGGGATYATGTATCCTCTTTGGCCTGGGAAMGCCTTGGACGAGCTGAAAAGTGTTGCTGGGGAGAAGAGGGTCTCTCCCGGACCTGTTCTCTCCACGACCCAGAAGATGGAAGAGCAATTTTTAATTGAGTTAAATGGCAGCAGGTCTGGGAAGGTTCATCACTCTGAAAAGTGTCTCAAATTAGCCCAACAAATTCAGAAAAGTTAATTCCTTAATGAAAATTTGGGAAGATTTTGAATGTGTCTGGTCCTGATCTTTGGGCCCTCAAAAATAAAACCCAAGGTTCTGTTCAGGAAAACACTGCATTCAGTATTTACAACTGTTTGGATTAAATTTATTCGTCTTTTGTATTTAACTGTTTATGTCTGCAATGAAATAAAAGTGATTTTTTTCTTATTTTTGAGTCTAAATAAAACAATAAACTGCAGCATTTAATGAAAAGACTTGTTTTTTCTAATATCTTATATAAAAAAGGAGGGTCTTGTTTAATGTTTTTCAGATTTTAAACAAAAAACAAGTCAGGAAACTAGTTTCAGTCCTGTATTTACTTTAAATGTTCATTAATAAATTAAACACATGGCTACATCTGTTTGGTAAAAACGCAGCTTTATGCCCAGAAACACTCAAATGTTTTCCTTTGGTTATATAAGATCAGAGAGTTTCTGTTGTCGGATCAGGATGACCCAGGTGACCTTTGACCGCGCGCGCGCCTACCTGGCAGAGCAGCTCCAGAACGAAGCCGGCGCAGTTCGCGTATCCGCTTTGGTCAAAGGGGTCCATGACCCGGTAGAACCGAGCCATCAGCTCCTGGTCCTTCTGGCGGTCACAGCAGCCGAAGTCGTTGTACATRACGCAGAACTCCAGGTCTCTGGGGGGCCTGAAGGGCGGCTTGAAGTCCAAACACTGCGGGTGAGGCTCCGCAGGGCCCGGACACAGGAACAGGACACACAGAACCGGCCAACAGAACCGGGCCCGAGCAGAACTCCRCTGCATGGTGGCGTTTGGCGGCAGGAACGTGGACAGGAGGGGCTGCTGCTGCTGCGGAGGCTTCCTGCGACTCTCTGGACTTCGATCTCTGTTTGGCGCAGCGACGCGGTGACGCGCGCGCGGACCGAGCGGCCAACCTGCCGCATGCAGTGTGCGCACTTTTCTCCTCCTGATGGGACTGGTTTCTGCGCAGATTTGTTGAACTTATGACCGAACAGTCGTGTAAATCCAGCAGATGGCGACCACATCACAAMAAACTTTCACTTGGAGTTCAGATAGATGCAATTAAAGGCCTGATTTCCATAAATTAATGCATATAACCCGCTGCCTTCCATTAGCCTTTCAAACTGTACAATTATGATGAGAAAAGATAGTTACAGTTGTTAKAGCCAAACCTTCATCACATTATATCTCCTGTTAGTTCTCAGCTACTACCACACCATATGTTAGCAGAGTTGTAAAGTATAGTACAAATACTTTGTTACTGTACTGAGTAGAATTTTTGCATATCTGTACTTTACTGGAGTAGGCCTTATTTTTCAGCCTACTTTTTACTTCTACTTCTTACATTTTCACACAATTATCTGTACTCTGTGTTGTATAAAGTACCTCAAAGTGACGCTTGAGTAAAAGTACAAGTATCTTATTATAAAAAATACTTTGGTAAAAGTTAAAGTCTTCTCTAAAAATATTACTTGAGTAAAAGTCGTAAAGTATCTGATATGTTTTGTACTTAAGTATTAAAAGTA